ATTTACATTCAAGCAAGGATGATTCAAACAAAGAACACAATGGTGGCGTAATCGTACAAATACACTTTTTTAACAAAAAGCTAGGAATGCCATCAGGACCAGGACTTAATGAAGATTTCATAATTGAGATATAATCAAAGACATCCCTATTAGTTACCCTCAAACCACCATCATTTACTTCCATCTTAGGACAAAAATTAAAATTATCAGCCAAATCGTAGTTACTACCCTTATCATAAACTGATGAAAAAAAATCTGCAAACAAATTGGAAACGTCTTGACCACCTGAAGGGGATATTTCATCAAAAAACATTTCATTCGGAATACCATTACAATCCTTTTTGCTTTTAATAAACTTCCAAAAATATGTCGGATCATTCAATATACAACCATCCACCTTGCGAATATAGGAAGCATAAAGACTGTCATTAAGCTCTTTACAACGAGACCTAACAGATTTAAAGTATAAATAGTCCTTAAGATTGCCAGAAGCTTGAAATGCCGAATGGGCTGACTTTTTCGTTTTGTATAATTCGATTAACTCCTTATTGAACCAACTTGGGTAAGACGAACAGCCAGTTCTTAATATTTTCGTGGGAATGAAATGAGTGATGCCCGCAAAAAGTATACCGTAGAATGTTAAAACTTTGTCATTTAAATTTTTGCCTTGAAAGCAAACATCCCAGTTAATAGAAGCAAGATAGTCGTTCAAAAGAACATAATTGCCATTGGCAAAATCAAAAACTTCAACTTGTGATATCAAAATTGTCGGGGAGTTGATGTCAACGGACCAAGAATATGGGATATGATGGTGACTGTCATCAAAAATGGGATCTTCCGCTTTAAATATGTCCAACTGCTTTAAATTCGTAAATAGAAGGTCAAGGAAAACATTCCTATTATTTGGGATTTGATTAACCTGATTTAAATTCAAAAAAGCATAAGTAACGTTTAACATATTATAAAGTTCTCTGGAAGAACCAGCTAAATCATTAATAACTTTATTACCATCCCAGACCAAATGAGGTAAATTAAAATCACCGGCAATGATGTAGTGAAAATCAGGAAATTGTTCAAATATGGATTCCAAATCAGTACAATGATCGGTAAAAGTTTCAAGCGAAGACATAGGTGGAATATATACACCACCAATAATCAGCCTCAAATTGTTGATAACAATACGAACATAAATACTTTCCACATTATCACTATAAAGAACGCAAGATGAATTATATTGTTTATTAATGGCAATCAAGACCCCACCACCTCTAGTTTTCAAAACGGACTCAAATTTCCGATCAGCACGATAAATTTTATAATTGCATAACAATAATTCAGAATCTAATATTTTGTTGCATAACCATGTTTCTGTAACAATAATGACATCATAAACACTAGCGTTTACATTCTTTGAGAACTCCTTAAGCCTAGTCCTAATACCCCCAGCATTCTGATAAAAAAAATTAAGTTTATTAACAGACCTATTTAGTTTTTTGGGCGATTGCTTTTATTTCCACTGTTCCTAATTCCAACAATTGAAGCCATGTTATTCCTGTATATCAACTTGATGTCAGTTTCGCCTCGTGATTTTCTCATATTAAAGTCATTAATTATCTCCGCATTATTGTCACGTTGTAATTTAGTTAAGTCCGGATGACAATTAAAACGTTTATTAGTATTATTTTTATTACTCCTTAAAACACACATTACCTCATCATTATTGTCAAAAATCAGTTTCAATGGACGTATAGAATTGGGCTTAGGAGGGCCCATGCGATATAATTTTTTGGGTTGTGGTAGGTTTCCTAACGGTTCAAAAATCGAGATAATTTGACTCACATCATCGTTCACTCTAACTTCGGCAGATTGTGCTGAAGATTCGGGGATGTTATATAAAATTACATTTTTGCTACGAACATTACGATCATAAATTTCCGACACCACCTCACTGACTTTATAAGAGGAGGCCTCACTGGAGCTGCCAGTCTGGAGCGAATGAACTTCTTCCTGCAATTTCTTGACATCACTCTCAACAGTCGCAATCCTATTGTTGAATTGTTGAAATTGGTCGTCAATTAACTGCGAAATCTCAGTCAAAAGTTCAGTTCTTAATTTAACGAATTGTTTTGCGATTAATTGTTCGATCGCAGAAAGTGAAATAGGAGTTGTAGGCACCAGTGACGAAGGAGAGCAAGCAGGACACATCCAAGATACGTTGCTGTCCAAACTGCCAGAATCCAATCTAGAGCATTTGGTGTGACAGTATTTTTTACAAGATGAACACTTAATAGATGGTGTAGAAGGTGTTACCGCACCATTACATACCAAACAAAATATTGCCATGAGTGGATCAGATAATCAAATGATAAAAAAAATGGAAACAAAGACTGGGACACAGTACTTCACACCAGTAGGGCCTTTTATGGTGTCTAACATAAAACAAACAAGTTAGGCCACGGAAGGGATCAGGGAAGATGAACACTAGGTGAATGACTTCGCTGATAAGGAAAAAGAAAGAGCAAAAACTTACTCAGTGATAAGGTTGAAACCCACACTTAATTAAAAAGGCAAAATCCGGGCAAATACTCAACGCAGCAGCGTAAAACTTGCTAGAAGTACCGCACACATAAAAGTCCTGTGACACACCAAAATTTATCAAAATAACTGTATAAAAACCCACAATAACAGCGAAAAATTGCAGAGAACAACGAATATGTCTCACTATCTATAAAGTTTTTTATTGAAATAGGCTTTCAAACAAAAAAAAAACGTAATGAAATAAGTTTAACCCAAGGACGTTATATTACGAAAGTTTTCAGTTTTTGGCTATATTTTCGGACAAAATTTTGCCATTATTGTATTATATACTTTTACTTAAATATATTTTCTATTCTATAGTAATATCCCGAGACTATCTTAGATTGCCGATAATTTTTGGTTAAGGAGCCAATAAAGCGTTGATAAATTTTAAAAACATAAAAACATTTCAACAAGAATTAAAACGTTTCCTAAAATGTTGATGACGTCATCACAAAATTTTGTTATGGGAAAATTCACTTGAAACATACGCATAGCATGCTTCTTTACCTGTATTTTAACTGTCCATACATATGGGGGGGGGGGGGATGTTCTGTCTAAATAACATAAAAGACCAACTATTTCTAGGAGGCAACTATATCAAAAATTTGGTCGAACGTTATTTCGACAGAACTTCCCTCGCCCCCGAAGTACAATAAAACAAATCCAGCATTTGATTTTTTTTATGAGAACGCCCATAAGCTAAAAAAAAAGATATATGTGTAATTTTAAAGTAAATGTCAAGAAGCATGCTGTGGCAAAAGCTTCAAATGAGTTTTTCCTTAACAAAATTTTGTAATGACATATATGTATCAATTTGGATTGGTGCAGTATAATACTAATGATAACAGTATTGTATTCCTAAATTTTGTGAAAATGTAGAGCCTTTCCTGATTTAATGAATAAAAGAATTGACTAATTCACTAATTTTTATTACTCTCCTGTATAAGTAATTCAAAAAATTTCCTTGCAATGATTACAAGCAGGTATACACTCAGCATCATTATGTACCATTTGGCAGAAACATAACCTGTGGTGTGCTCTATATGGTATAAGAACGAACATACCGTTTGTGTCAAATGATATTCCAACGCCTACTCTGAGTGATTTTTCAATTGACCACCCGTTATAAATCATTAAATCACTATCGAAGTTAACAAAAATATAATCATTGGCGTATAATGAAAATTAAACTCAATTTGTTTCATTTTTTTATTGAAATTGAAGCAGCAATTTAAAAAACGAAACCTACCAAATTTCTTCATTTACAATAAATTTTAATGATTTTTTTTTCCGCCTCTATTTCAAAGTCAACCTGTACCTGTATATACTGTTACGTTGATCGGTAATTTAAAATCGGCGTGGCTAAAACTTAACAATTTATTTCTCAGTAATACAAAACTACACAACTAACTTATTATGTACACAATAATGACTGGAATGGATTTGACTAGACTCAACTTCCGTCATTACTAGACTCCACTTGTTAACTGAGACTGACTGACTCGTGGCCTCTATTTAAATCCATACATTCCTCTGAATGGTTCGCGAGCGCCGCTCGGTCGCCGTCACCGATGATGAGTCACCCATCATCGCCGGACATACTAGAATACCCGCCGCGTCGTACCGGGGCGGCGTATGAGTTTATTTCGTAACAGTATTATATATAATATAACTTTTCTTCAAAACATTCTATACAGGGTGATTTTTTTACCTGAACTTTCAAATATCTCGGAAAATAAGCACTCTGCATAAAAATGTCCAGAATCAAAATTTAATCAAGCCACGGGAGAAATACATTAGTGCTCAAATTAGCCCCCCGCCCCCTCTCGTTGTAGGTGGGGCAGGGGTAGGGGTTAACTTCGAAACTTTAAATGGGAACTGCTATTTTTACTCTTAATATTCAGAATGTTCATAAAAAATTCTAAAATCTAATTTTCAAATATCGATTTTTCGGGTTTTTTCAGATTGAACAACCTGTGTTTATTATTGCATCTTACTCTGTTTTTACTTCCTGGGTGAAAGTTAAGGAAGAATTGCAAATCGAGTCCTTTAGGCAACTGGCTGCTTTCATATTTTTTTATTGCCTTATACTTGAAATCAAAATGAAACATTGTAAAGTTACGAACTCCAAGACCATTTGTGCTAGAACTCTCAACATTTTTCATAAACATTTTTTATATTTAATTATGCTCAAAGAAAAATTAGGTATCCGGAATTTTTAAACTCTACCCACTCTATGGTCTAGCTTTCATTAATTTCCCTAATTAACAAACATAAATTAGGTAACACTTGTTCGAATTTGTACGTTCAACTGCCCCACTGTGGATCGGTAACAAATAAATTTTATTGTATTCTTGTAAGACTTGTATTTTCGAATACAAGATGATAATAATGTAATTAATGTACATCATTCTTTCCAGGTATCTCAATAACAAACTGAACAGTCGAACTACTGGTGCTTATTCTTTTCAAAATGCCTTCTTCTATCTCCAGTGGGGTGACGACGATTCTGTATACGACTCAAACGATCCCGTAGCCGCAGGTTTGGTCACACTCAAGAAAACTCGAAGACGTAGTAAACTACATCCACACAAACAACGTTCGAAATATATTTGTCGGCCAGAGTTAGTAGTAGAAGCTGGAAATCACTTCGTTTGGGAATTTATTCCGGGGCACGGAACCATGAATGTGCCCCAAGACGCAGCAATATTGCATCACTATCGAATCTGTGAATTCGGTGGAGATGACTGCATAAAGACAGCCTCAACTGTTGACACTACAGCTTTTAAATATAGAACTAAATTAGTAGAAAAAGTTAAACATAAATACAATGAGTTCAAAATCAAATGTAATTTAGTGGAATTACCACCACCACCAACGAGGGTTTTTAGTAAAATTATGAACATGTTAAAAAGTGGACAACAGACGATGAGGTAATTCTTATTGACTTAAATCTAAGAATACCGTATTTTCTAATAAGATAGGTAATAATTTTGGACAATATTATTTTGTATATAAAGTATGTTTATATTTTGTAAATACAGAACAAGTTGCACTGGAATTGTATCCACAATTTTATCAATTTGTAATCGTAAGTGTATAAAGATTTAGTAAAACAATTTCCTTATTAAAAAGTATCCTAAAATATCCTTAAAGTTACTTCTCTGATAAGCTGGTTATTAATACCAAATGTGCATATATTAAAAGACTCCATAAAGCTGCGTTCGCAAAAACTCTAGGTCCTCAGTGTATGCCAAGCTCAACATTATCACCCCCGATTCCCACCGAAACTCGTGACCACTTGACCAGCCAATTTTCAGGAGAGGAGTGTCAAATCTTCTTCATGACAGCATGGCCAAAGGTCTGATGTGACAATAATATGTACAAAAATAATGTTATTAAATCAAATTGTCATTCAATTCTTTTTGCCACAAAGGGTGACTTTAGAAAATTGGCCGTTTTAGGTGAAGAGGAGACCGTAAAATCACAAAGGTAATATGTGTATATTGAGACAATGCATAAGAACTAGGGTTGCGTCAACTTATCGGAAACGAAGATATTAATCTGCGGTCGCTGTATGTAGTATTATAAACAAAAGTAAGAAAAGGGAAGCGATAGCAGGCTAAACACAAAACAAATTTTATTATTTTAAACTATTTTATGTATATTTTGATTTTTTATATAAAAAATGTAAAACGTACAAGCTTTTAACAAATTTAATCTTCATACACTACTGAGTAATAATCGTGATCTGCGTAGATTTCTTCAGCAGATATTACTTCTCCATTACCTTGTTTGTTGGATTCCCTTCTGTTACAAATGCTCCCACCGTGACAACGAATTTTATGCTTTTCTAAATCACATTTTTTCCAATATGGCTTATTACAAACTTCACAAACATTTTTGCCTTGATTCATATGATAAATTTGAATATGTTTTCGTAACGAAAACTCGTGTTTAAGAGATCTACCGCAATATTCACAATGTAGCAATTTTTCTCGAGTATGAGTGCGCAAATGGTTATTTAAATTACAAGGGTAGCGGAATTTCTTGCCACAAATGTGGCACGCCCGATGTTTTGGTTTGGGATAATGAACCATCATGTGCATTTGTAAAGAACGTGCGTAAGACACCTGTTTTCCACAAAGGTGACACTGGTAACAATTTCGTATATGTGTACATTTAATGTGCTCCCGCAAGCGGAATTGGTGGTTGAAGACTTTGTTACAAAAAGAACATGCATATTCTGCATGTTTCGAGGCATGTCTTCTCAAATGACTCGGATTAAAAAACAACTGTCCGCAAACTTCACACATAAATTCACGTTGTTTACTCTTATCCTCTTTTCGTCTTATCCTTTTCTCTTTGGGAATATTGTGCTTAATCAAATGTCTTTTCAAAGATTTAACATTCGTAACCATATGACCACACTGCTCACACATAAAAGGCCCTGTACCATACGTTTGCTTCTCAGAACTTCTTTTTTTGTTTTTTTGATGCACTGGCATATTATTTCTGTGTTCCTCATTTAAGTTAAGTTGTCCATAGAAAACCGATACTGGGGTACCCTTCTCGCTCGGCTGCAAAAGATTTTCCACAATTGACTCAGTCAAATTTTTTTGTGTCCCTTCTTGTTCACTACGAGGAATGTCTTCAAAATTCTGCACTTTCTTGTCTGTCAATAATTTCCCAATGATAACCAAGTCTGCAACGCTACTAATTACACCTTTCTTTTTTTCGATAATTTTTTGTAACTTTTCTTCAGTTAGCAGCCACTTTTCTTTTAACTGGTAACTATGTAGCACTAACTCAACACATTTGGTACAAATCACAGTATTGGGGTACATTTCTAAGTCTAAGTCAGGTAATACAAATTTCAGCATACTTTTTATTTGCATGGAATCTTGGTCTGATGTGTCTTCGTATAACTTGATAACTTCCTTATCATCTAAAGAACAAAAACAAATGCGGCATACTTCTGTCATCCGATTACAATCTAAAAAGCACAAATTAGCACAAAAACTCAAGAAACGCAAAATGCTGCTATACCTTTCAAGTAACTTTTAACAGATCTAAAATACGGTTTCGTAAATATTAAAGGCGTTGTTGAGGATTCTTTTTCTCCATTTATGGTTCGTACATTCTTACAGTTTCTTTTATTTTTTTGAACGTTAGGTTTTTCAATTCCTTGAACATTTGATGCAAATGGTTCAAAGTCATCCCCTACTATTTCTTCTTGATTTGATTGATATATGGGTAAATTTTGTATTTGTATCTCACTCGGACTTTCCACCACATGACTATCATCGCGAATTGGTTCGTCACTATTCTGTTTTTTATTAATATAAACCGGCATCCTCATTGGTTGACTTATAATGGTGTCACAATGTTCTACGGCTGTTGAAATATCAAATGGATACGATATTATCGGTGTCTTCGTTTCAGGAAGGTCGAGAAATCTAGCATCAAACAGATGCAAATTATTCAAAATTTCTGCTTCCTCTGCCATTTGGAGATCAGATTTGTCTAGAAATGTATTTACAATATATTAACTATACATTGAACAAATATCTTACCTTCACTTATCTCAGTAATGGAAATACCTGCAAATAATAAATCAATAATGTTAATACAAGTTAATGGGTAATAAAGAAATTATACACTTATAATACTTTGAAGTAATCTGAAATTATTCAGCAAGGGTAATTCTTTAATTACAGGCCATGAAAAAACACGGAAAGTAGCCATTCGCTGGATGAACCCTTTTACAATACTTCCTTAACTTACACGGTTAGCTAAATTTTACTTTAACCGTACGGTATAGCATGTTACAAAGGCGTCTAATAATCCAATCTTGCTTATTTAGGAATTGAGCGACAGATTTTATGTATTTTTTTATCATTTCAATTATTATCATTTTATTAACAATTTAGATTAAACTCCATACGGACAGTTTCCTAAGCTAAAGGTTAAGCCGTCAAAATGGAAACTGACACAGGTCGTTTTCATTTCGGAATATACGACGATGTTGATCGTCTTTTCATTGAAAAACGAAGTATTTTTAACAAGGTTCTGGAAACTACGACTATTATTGATCCTAAAGTCTCTAATCGACCGAAATACATATATGTATGTATTAGTAGGCAAACTGATTTTAAAGCACTCAAATAAATTGTTTACATTATATTAAACAAAAGAAAACCCTCACCTGATTTTGCGGACCCCGTGAATGCGGCATCATCTGCAAGTTCAATAAGATTTTTCTTGTTTATTAATTCCTTACTTTACATTGCTTATTTTCATCGTCTGATGTTTCACTCACTCAAACCAGACAATTAAATAAGCAAAGGCAATTAACTACTGGGTTCACCTTTCCTAGTTTACTTTTATCAGAAAAATCATTTTTTTAAAAACAAATTTATGTCTATTATGAAATCAATGATGATAAACAGTATTGTTAACAAGTGTTAATACTTATAAATTCTCGACACAAAAACAATCAACTGAGTCTGAAATTGGTTAAGCTTCGCTATGACGACCGACGCACGAACCGAGCTCACTCTTACACCAACTGTGTTATGATATGAGCTGATGATCTTAAATGGCTGAAGTGATGAATAACAAAGAGCAAAGAACCATCCTCTTTCAGTTTTTTTTTTTTTTGTAAAAATTAAAAGTTTTTAATCGCGGAATTTATTTCATTTCCACAATGAAGACAACCAAAGAATTAAGCATAATATCATAAAATATGATTTCATTTATAGTCAAAATCAATTCCCAATGTGTCTCTCTGAACATGCAATACTTCCATAATAAGGGTATTGTTTGGATCGTGAAAACTCGTAATCACAAATCTGTGACATGGACGATTAAACAATACCTTCTATTTATTTTATATTTAATATATTAAACGTTATATGTGGTTCACTGCATTTACAGAAGAAGGTGATGGTTATGTCTTTATCACTAATGATGCAGGTAGATTATTAGAAGACAATAAAGAAAACAACTGATTAACAATATTCTCAAGAAAATTACAATGACTTGTACATACCACTTTGGGTACATGAAAAATATATATTGGTGTATTTTCAAAAAATTGGTCTAAAGAGTTTAGACAGTACCTCCCTCGCTGTCGGAAACTTGACGACTGCATGCCTATTGTGTTTTTTTTTCTCATTACATTTTTGTAGTGGGAATTTAAAAAAAAAATTGTGATGACATCATCAACATTTTTGCAAGGACACGTATATCAGTTGGGATAGATGTAGTGTAATACTAAGAATAAAATTATTGTATTCCCAAATTTTCGGGAAAATGAATTGGGTCGTTTTGAATATTGATTTCTTATAATCAATAAAATAACGAAACAATTTACTCACGTATACGGCGCCGGTGTGTAATATCTAGAGAGCGGATTTCTGTCGGGCTAGGCAAGGCCAAACTCGGTACGGCTCGTACGGGATGCGAATTCATTGCGGTTGCGGACTGCACTTCGTTTATTTGAGATTAGAATAACGCTGTTTCGTTGCACTCTGCTGTTAATTCCCGTTCTCATTTACATAGCCGTTTGATTAATAAATCGTTAATTATATTTATGGAATTAGTACTGATTAAATTCAGTGATTATCTATCACCCGCTACTGAGTCCCGGCGATCCAGGGCGTCACCACCTATAATCGTGACGTAGCCCGACAAAAATCCGCTGTCTAGTAATATGAAAGGCAACTGAAAATCGTTTATGTATAAACATTCTTAATTTAAGATGACAAGCGTAACAGCATACGTGAGAGTCAAACAGAGAAACTGTAAACAAAACGACCATCGGTTTTATTGCTTCGACTTCCGCTTATTATATAAAACATTGGGTTTTATTTTAATTCTTGACGGTGAAATTCACAATTGGTTGATTATATACATGTCTATTTCACATTCGCGGAACCAAGTGAGCGCATAAAACAAATGCAGGTCTGTAATGTTAAAGTCGATGTAAATAAGCGTACTACCCTTATGTTTCAACCGAGTTTTTCCTTTAACAAATTTTGTGTCTACCAAATTGGGTTGGTTGGGGTGTAATACTAATAATAAGTGTTGCCTTTAATTTAATCAATAAAATAAATTGACTTCACTAATTTTTTTGAACCACCTCTTAAGAAAATCTAAAAAATATGAATGGAATGATAAATCACAAGTACAAACTCATCATATTTTTTGCATTTTAGATAGGATTTATTCAGCAAAATTTAAGGGTGACGTCATCAATTTTTTTAGGAGGGATGAACAAATACATTTTGAACAAAAGTTTACCATGCTTAAAATAACTTTAAAATATTCCCAAGATTTCAAAGCATTCGGTTTTGTAATTCCTGATTAAATCGATAAAATAAATTCACGCCTTCATTAATTTTTTTGAGTCACCCTGTATATGCAAATCAAAAAAATTTGAATGGAATGATAAATCACAAGAAGAGACTCACCATATTTTGTACATTTTAGATAGGATTTATTTAGCAAAATTTTGTGGTGACGTCATAAATTTTTTAGGGGGGACGACCAAATACATTTTGATCAAAAATTTACCATGCTTATGATAATTTTAAAATATCTTCAAGATTTCGAAGCATTCGGTTTTGTAGTTCCTGAGTAAATCAGTAAAATAAATTTACGCTTTCATTTATTTTCTTGAATCACCCTGTATATGCAAATCCAAAAAATATGAATGGAGTGATAGATCACAAGTACAGACTGATCATATTTTGTACATTTTAGATATGATTTATTCGGCAAATTTTCGAGCTGACGTCATCAAGTTTTTGGAGGGGATAAGCAAATATATTTTGACTAAACATTTATTATGCTCTTTATAACCTTAAAACATCTGCAAGATGTCAGAGCATTCCGTTTTGTAGTTCCTGATTAAATCAATAAAATATATTTACGCATTCATTAGTTTTTTTGAGTATATGTATATGCAAATCCAAAAAATATGAATGGAGTGATAAATGACAAGTACAGACTGATCATATTTTGTACATTTTAGATATGATTTATTCGGCAAACTTTCGAGCTGACGTCATCAAGTTTTTGGAGGGGATAAGCAAATATATTTTGACTAAACATTTATTATGCTCTTTATGACCTTAAAACATCTGCAAGATTTCAGAGCATTCGGTTTTGTAGTTCCTGATTAAATCAATAAAATATATTTACGCATTCATTAATTTTTTTGAGTCACCCTGTATATGCAAATCCAAAAAATATAAATGGAGTGATAAATTACAAGTACAGACTCATCATATTTTTACAGTTTAGATAGGATTTATTCGGCAAACTTTCGAGCTGACGTCATCAATTTTTTTGAGGGGTTAAGCAAATATATTTTGACTAAACATTTATTATGCTCTTTATAACCTTAAAACATTTGCAAGATTTCAAAGCATTCGGTTTTGTAGTTTCTGAGTAAATCAGTAAAATAAATTTACGCATTCATTAATTTTTTTGAGTCACCTGTATATGCAAATCCAAAAAATATGAATGGAGTGATAAATCACAAGTACAGACTCATCATATTTTGTACATTTTAGATATGATTTATTCCACAAACTTTTGAGCTGACGTCATCAAGTTTTTGGAGGGGATAAGCAAATATTTTTTGACTAAAGATTTATGATGCTCTTTATAGCTTTAAAACATCTGCAAGATTTCAAAGCATTCTGGTTAGCAGATTAAAAATTAAATTTCAAAATGTTGTTTTATAATTTTGATTTTTTTTCCAAAAATCTGGACGTTTCGGGTGAAAAGTCGATTCAGAGTTGTAAACTACATGTGTAGGACTATGTTATTTTATACAATTGAAAACCCATTTACTATGTACAATTTTGAAGTGACGTCATCGCATTAGTGGTGGGGATGATTAGACAAATTTTGGTTAGCGTTTTACCATCTACATGATATTCTTAATATAAGTACAAAATTTCACAACAATCGGTCGAGTACTTTCGGAGATTATCTGTCTAATAAAAATCCGGGACGGCAGACGGACAGACGGACGGACAGACGGACGGACAGACGGACGGACAGACGGACAGACAGACGGAAATGGGAGACCTATTTCTTCGTCTTCTAGGGGTCATGAAAGATAGAGAAAACGTAAAAGTAGAGAGTCGGCCGACGGACTCGATTACAATACTTCCTTTGCTTACGCTCGGGAAGTAAAAATTAAGTAACTTCTTTATGTTGAATAACTTCTAAATTCAATTTTAGGCCACAACCACCTACTTCAGTTTTGCTTTTGGTTACAGTTTATGTTTGGCAGAATTTCATCTACCTTAAAAATCTTGACAACTCATCGTAACTTTATACACTTATACAGGTGCTCATTTTATCTGTTCACGCCTGAATATTTCTGCATAGGCAACCCATTTTACGTTTTTTAAACAGCTTTGATTAATTTTTATTTTGAAATAATAATGAACGTATAGTTAGCAATGATCAGAACCAAAGTATTACAAATTATTAACATGCTATATTATAATATTGGGAAAGCATGACAAAAATTATGATGCTGCTGTTCGTCTCTAGGCCAGGTAATATCCCAATAGAAGAACTCCCTCAAATCAAGCGTTTAGAAAACTTGAAAAAAATTTACGAGAATTTGGGCAACAAAAAAAAAAGTTAGAAATCGAATTGTATCGACGCCGGATAATGAAGCTGCTCTAATCGAAATTGTAGCAGAAAGTCCCCACGTGAGTCAAAGACAGATTACAAGACAAATGGAGATTAGTTTGGGTTCGGTTTTCAACATCTTAAAGGCAAACCGATTCCATCCATATCATGTGACAATGGTCCAACATTTAACAGAACGTGATTTTATCCGGCTGTTAGTGTTTTGCGAATTCGTGAGGGCTCAATTACGAGACGATCAAGATTTTTTATTTAACGTTTTATTTACGGATGAAGCCACATTTACCAATAACGGATGTGTAAACAGACACAACTCACATTACTATGCCCAGCAAAATCCCCAGTGGTATCAGGAAAAGCACTTCCCAGAAGTTTTCAAAGTTAATGCTTGGTGTGGAATTGTTGGTAACCACGTCCACATTTTTTTGAAGGAAATTTAAAAGTATCTATATATCTAAAGTTTTTAAAGAATATTTTACCTGAACTGTTCGAAAACGTAGAGCTAGACATACGAAGAATAATTTAGTTTCAAAATGACGACGCTCCCGCTCATTATCAGAGAGACGCGGGATATTAGGAACTATTTACACAGAGCGTTTGGATCAAGTCTTATTGCTAGAGAAGAAGAGTACGCTTGGCCTGCACGAAGGCGTGATCTAACGCCATTCGATTTTTTTCTTTGGGGGAAGGTAAAAAATGACGTTTATAGTGTCCAAATCGAAAATGAAAACCAGTTACTTGAAAGGATAATAGCGTCATGCACATCTATAACTCCCGACATGTTAGATAGAGTTCGTAGAAATTTTGAACGTAGGATAGGACTTTGTGAAGATTATTACTATTGGTTTTTTAGAGCAGAGATATATATCTATTATGCTCCCGTAATTTTAAATTTGATCATAGATTTGAGTCTTTCTTAAGATAGATTTTCCTCAATGAATTTGTCCAACTTTGTTTTAAAAGCTTCAACTGTAGGTGCTGTTACTATTTCCTCTGTTAGTCTGTTCCAGTCATTAAAAATTCTGTTTGAAAAAAAATGCTCCCTGCAAGAAATTTTAAATTTGTTTTTAGTCAATTTTAGACTGTGTCCCCGTAATTGTGTATTTTTATTAAAATTAAGTACTTTACTAATGTTTGTATTTTGACTAATAAATTTGAATACCCATATTAAGTCACTACGTCTTCTTCTGAATGCAAGTGTCTCTACATTTAGCCTGTTCATCCTTGTACTATATGTGAATTTTTTAAAACCTTTTCGTCAGACGCCTCTGTACTCTCTCTATGTTGTCCTTATCACGAATAAGCCAAGGGGACCATATTATGTTTGCGTACTCCAGAAAATATTTGCTTGTTTGGACGACTGAAAGCTTTAAACAAAATATATCCTAAAGTATTGGCTCGTTTCACAATGGATGTAACCTGAGCAGACCAGTTTAAATCACTGCTTACTATAATGCCTAAATCTTTCTGAGTAGTTTTTGACTGAATACAGTGATTATCCATAAAATAAAAATGATTTGGATTATTATGACCTAGATCAACCTAGATGTAATGTGACAAATTTGTCAACGTTTAACGGAATGAGCCAATCTTGACTCCAGGTTTTCACAATTTCAAGATCTCTTTGTATCATTTTGTGGTCGATAGATCTACCAAATATTTTACAGTCGTCTGCATAAAACACATGTAAAGATAGTGGAGGTAGGCATTTTGAACATTTATTATAAATTCGTTTTTGTTATAATCTGATCCATTAATAAAATGAATATTAATTTTTTCAATTTTATCATTATTTGGCACTGACATATTTGTCATTTTTTTTCTGTGACTGTTATGATTGCTTATTTAAAAAAATGGTCTAAAGAGTGTAGACAGTACTTCCCTCGCTGTCGAAAACGTGACGACTGCATACCTATTATGGTTTTTTTTCGCATTACATTTTTGTAGCGGGACATGATTGCTTATTAAAAAAAAAATTGGACGAAGTCGTCTCTGGAGTGTATAATATGTTGCCTATGCAAAAATTGTCTGGCGTGAACAGATAAAATGAATTAAAATAGTTTTGCGCACAGTGGTTTAAGTTTAAATGCAACTTAAAATTTTAAATATACAAAATTTTGCAATTTGATACAAATTTTTTTTAGGAAATAAACTTACGGAGAGATTCTTGAAATTCTGATAATTTGCAAACCGCTATCGTTTTAAATTTCCAGATTCTTGCAAGGCCTTATCGAGTTTCGAAAATCTCCCCCGTATATAAATTAAAATTTAAAAATTTCAGCATCTAAAAATGTAGTAGGTCTGTTAGTAAATTGTTATCATGTAAGGTTTAAGTGCGAATGGTTTTTGATAATGTACAGCACATGATATAACTACATGAGCAAAAGCGATTTGTTCTAGAGCAAAAACAATGGTTTATTCGAACCTGCAATTAAATGAATTTATGTTATTGCAAAGTTGGAAATGAATTAACAACGCAACAAAAGATGGTTCATAGAGTTTAAATATTTGCGCCAATTCTATTGACCCCACACACTTGCAATATCTTATTCCACCATAAACAAGCATAGCTAAGGATTCAGTGTTACCCATCTGTACGCTTTTAATTATGACTCGACCACTTACTTTTAGGAAGTAAAACACTGGGTACTGCAGATCCAACCAATCTTCGCTGTTGTGTTTCGACTACAAAATCTTCCGTTTGGAAGTGTTTGTGACAAACATATCCACGGCTGTAGATCTGTTCATATGTCAGTTTTGAAAATCTCGGATTGTTAACTGCTTGGACCCATTTATAAAACCTATCCAAACTCTTCCTTGGATTGGGAAAATTGAACACAGGGTTTGTTCTTCCACCACAACCATACACTGAACAAGTGTGACTGCTCTTCACCTTCATCATTTTGGGGCTATAAAATGTCCAATTACAATCACTGCACGTGAAAGCAATTCGCAGTCACATTTGTAACCTCTCAAATGCAGTCCGCAACAGTAAAACATTTAAAACCGCGAATGTTTGTAATAAGTTAAACTTAACCTAAACCAATTAAAAACTAAATTCAGGGACGTCTGCACATGTACTGACTTTATAAAACCAGAAATGAATTTGTCCTGAAAAAATTCGTTAAAACTTTGCAGGTGTCAAACAAATAAACAATAACATTTTTGTACCTATTCCACAGAATAACCGTGCGTACAACATAGGCATCCCCACAGAACAGGATCATAGAAAAGGATATCCCAGTCACAGTCCCAGTACACAGTATGATTTTCTATGACATAGAATATCTCAGACGAATTTTCTTTTCTTTAATCTTTCACATGGGCAGGCATGGGCAGATAATGCAGAATGGACATGATCGGAGAAGGTAATGGGAATGGGAGAAACACAACAAACGAATTTGTTGAAGGCGCGGCCGTCGAATTTTAAAATATGAAAGTTAGTAAATAGGATGATTTGAATTCCATGCTCTCAAACATATAAAAACAAGTACTTTTCGGATATTTTGGTAGTATTATTAATTCAGACACATATTAAACTTTCTTTTTAGCACAGTAACAAAAACAATTACAGGTTCCTGTAACTCCCGAAGTGAATGACACCTTTTGATATTTTCCCTTTTAACAAATTGGAGCGACTTTAATAGCGAACATTAATTAAATACAGGGAATATATGTACCACGACACCACGACCTTTTCTATCAACTACGGCTTGCTCAATCGTCTAGTATTCGTGTTCACCGCATGGCGCCACTTACACATTAAAACCTTAGATCATATAATAAATAGATACCACCATGCCGTGTTCTTTCCCTAGGACAGCCTGTGACGACATCCTCCTGTCACACATCTCTCTCGTGCATGGAGGGATTACAATGAAGCTATCCTTGCCTGATCACTATTTGAATTTTGCGCGCCTAAATTTAAGGAAGTATGTCTGAACTAACTTCGGAAGAAAGATGTTGACAGCTTGATTTTATAAATAATTCACAGTAGATAACGAAAGCAATAGTAAATTATTGGGCAGCAATTGTGATCCTTTATGACTACATCACTTAAAATAGGATCTTTGTTCTAAATTCTAAAATTGTTTTTTGTACAACAACTCGAAAGAGAGGTTAGAAGAAACATCTGTCAAAAGCGACTTGTTGCGCTGGTGCGGCACAAGGATGGAAGTGAAATAGACATATACAGATGAAATGCGCATAACAAAGATGAAGATGTGGTGATCACACAAGGATAGCATTATACTACTCCCCTGGACGTAGAAAACGACAACAGATAGCTTCATGTCTAGTCACACCTTTCAGTTTGAGTATTGGTATCTATTTATTATATGATCTAAGATTAAAACCTTAGATCATATAATAAATAGATACCAATACTCAAACTGAAAGGTGTGACTAGACATGAAGCTATCTGTTGTCGTTTTCTACGTCAAGGGGAGTAGTATAATGCTATCCTTGTGTGATCACCATATCTTCATCTTTGTTATATGCATTTCATCTGTATATGTCTATTTCACTTCCATCCTTGTACCGCACCAGCGCAACAAATCGCTTTTGACAGATGTTTCTTCTAACCTCTCTTTCGTGTTCTTGTACGAAAAACAATTTTAGAATTTAGAACAAAGATCCTATTTTAAGTGATGTAATCATAAAGGATCACAATCGCTGCCCAATAATTTACTATTCCTTTCGTTATCTACTGTGAATTATTTATAAAATCAATCTGTCAACATCTTTCGTACGAAGTTAGTTCAGACACACTTCCAAAAATTTAGGCGCGCAAAATTCAAATAGTGATCAGGCAAGGATAGCTTCATTGTAATCCCTCCATGCACGAGAGAGATGTGTGACAGGAGGATGTCGTCACAGGCTCTTCTAGGGAAAGAACACGGCGTGGTGGTATCTATTTATTATATGATCTAAGATTAAAACCGTTAAACATCAAAAAAAAAACCGTGCCTGCTAGATACCTACTACTAAATAATTTTCAAAAATTGTTACACAGTACGAGACCTATATGTCATTCCTCAACGCGTCTGTGGTTTCTAACCTGTTTTAGTTTATTTCTGGACAGATCCTTCAAGATCCTGTCATGAATTTCCCTCTAATTTTAGGCTAAGGCAAGGATGGTTGGGGAAAATATATTCTAATACCGGTAAATCTTCAGTAACTATTTTTAATAATAATAATAATAATAATTTTTTTTTTATTAAGTACCTGTTTTTGTTTACATGCAGTTTTACATATGTTAATAAAAAAGACACTTCTGAATACGAAAAATTGTAGATGAGTGCCCGAGATTATCGGACAAAACGGTTGTTTGCAGTTTACATTTCCTAACATCATGTTTTAAAGCGTCTGAATCAGGAAGAAAATTGCTGAAACGTTGTGCTATTCCCACGTTATTTATGGTAGTTTCCGTCTAAAATTTTTGCCAAACCTACAATTTTATTTCCAAAAATCTCCATTCTAGACTAATTCGTCCTCTGGCGCCACTGATATTTTCCACAATGATATAGTAATTAATCAAAATCCTTATGCTGTAAATATTACCTACTTATAATACTCGCTTGCCGAATTCTCTCATTTGAAAATCTGCCAGTCTTTCAAGTAATGGAATTTTTATCGTTTTTCACATGCTTATCTATGAACCCTTTCTCAGACAACGGATAATGAGTGCTAAACCGACATCATTACACAAGTAATGTACAAGTACTTATAAGAAAGAAATTAAAATGTTAAATTTGAAAATCAAACGTCTGATCCGCCAAAATGATATAAAAACCAAAAGCTACAACAAATGTAAGCAGTAATAGTTGATAAGTACGATTACAGCCCAGAAAATAAAATCATAGAGAAAATTGGATCAGATGCTCATGAAAACAACTAATATCCAGTCTTCTTGTTGGATCAAGTATCAAATTATTGTAAGAAACGTCCACAGCGGTCTGAGTTGACAGTAGGTTTTTGTTTTACGTGGCGCTTTTCCACACCTAAAGTAAAAGGCTATGATTCTCCGAGCTCGTTTATAAAGCTTCTGTCACGTACAACTCTGCAACGATACGATACCAAAAGCGGGGAATATATGCCACACATCATTAAAAATAGACTTTTAGCGAAAATTCAGGTTTTATCACCGACTGCTAAAGTGTGTAGTACTTTAATTGATGACATGGCAATTAAGCCAAAATTAAATTATAACAAAGCCGAAGATAAGTTTTATACGATAGAGACCATCAAAGAAGAAAAGAAACTTCAATTGCTAGGGGAGCAATAGCAAATAAGATGTGTTTTGTAGTGCGCGGATTATCTATAAAATAGACAATAGCAGTAGCGTACTACTTCCATAAGATATCATTTCGTGATATGTACGAACTCACACTCCAAGTCCTACAACTGCTACATGAGTGTGGTTTCGTTACTATATTCGTCTTGTCGCAGACAACCATAAATCAAACGTTGCTCTCTTCACAATGCTTGGAAATGGAAATCTAACAACACACAATATAGACTATCCTATAGAACCCAACATCACCCTATTTCTGAGCTTTGATTACTGCCACGTTGCAAAAAATGCACGTAACATTTTTTTGGATTGATCGTGATATGTCTTCGGATCAAGGAATAATTACATCGCAGTTACTAGTGAGCCTCTACAACATCCAAAAAGATATATAGTTATAAAGCCGATGAGATTCTTAACCCGGAAACATCTTTATCCCAGTAATTTTGAAAAACTTTTTTCACCGCCTGTTACTGCAGGGATCAAATATTTAGTGGTACAAGATGGTGTTTGGAATTACAACTTCACAACTTCTCTTGCAATTGTAGAATACATGGAGATGATGTACAAATTTTTCCAAATTCACGATGTTAGTGACCGAGTCCAACATATCCGACAGCGAAATGAAGACTGTACACCCTACGTAAGCGTGGATGACGAAAAATTAAGGTGGATGATGTACACTTTTCCACAGTACGTTGATTCCATTCAACAAAGCTCTGCCGAAAATCATGTTCCTGGATTGACCAACGAAACAGCACAAGCTTTAAAGTTCACGTGCAAAAGTACCGCCGAATGCATAGAATATTTGCTGCGTGTGTCCATTTTTATTTTGTGGTCACAAGAGCATTTAGTTCTGATGGTATTGAGTCCACATTCTGTCAGTTCCGAATGCGAGGAGGTTCTCAAGATGCAACTGATGCCAAAGTCGCACATCATGCTATAAAAATAATTTTGCCGTCGGGCATAATAAAGACATCACTGCATGCCAATGTTTCACTAGACTGTACCTACATTAGCCTGCAATGTTGAGCAATCTAAAATTGCAAAGGAACAAGATCAAAAATACATAAATATTATTCAAGTTCCAGAACATGTTCTAAATAAGATACAGTTGATAAAAACCGTTCGGTATAATCTGAAACAAAACATAATATCTGCCTTACAAGCGTTTATTGCTGAATATATCGTACTTACGATTCAGGAGAGGGTTTCTTGTGCAACTTGTTTGGACCCGTTGTCAACGTCAGACACTACTAATCCTTTACCTGGACTAATTCAAAATCAATATCGGGGAGGTTTAAAGAACCCTACAAAAGAATTTGCGTGCTTAATATCACATAGAGACGAATTAGTTGTGGACATCATTCAATACTTGCCGATGTCGTGTAATCCCTCAAAAATTTTGTATGAACTCCTGTTGGACTATTTTAAGTGCTTCAAACTTCTTCACATGTGGAAATCAAGATCACAGAAGAACAATTTCCCAAATCATTCTTTCCAAATTATTGCCTCCACTACCAAGTAACGTTAGAAGCACAAGAACAGCTTGTACACCAAATCTATATCTCGCAAAGTGCACAAACTATAAGATATAGTTATTATTATTAAAATAAACGTACACAAGATATTCTTGGCGTACAGTATGCATGTCTTTTGATGTAAACACTAAACAGTCAATTTCAAATTTTTCCCATTTTAGAATAACACTGTTTCAAAGGCCCTTGACCTAGTTTTGTGGCGTCATCATGGAGGGTCCACGTATGTCAAGAAACATTTTGTTCCATTCGAGGATCAGTAAAATAGTTACCGCATATTCTTTGTATGGTACTTGTA